CGTCAAAACTTAATAACATTTCATATTCACGTTGTTCAAGGATGTTAATCTTCAAGAGTATAAATTCCGCTAGATGTGAGGATCAGAATGATGTGGCCCTTGGCATGGTCATAGTGCCTTTTTAATTTGTATAATTGTGTTGACCTCGTTTTCGCAACTTGATCTTGTAAAAGCGACGAGAAGACAGTGCTTTGTTGAAAATATCTTGTTCTCTGTCATAATAGTTATAATTCCCAGCATAAGACCGTAGATTTGGTACATTCTTAGACGTTTCATTGGCATCGTAAGCGAGTCCTGCCATTCTCCGCACTAAGCTTCAGCCCGTCAAAGAAAGTCAATCCTTTGATTAACGTTCTATCGAAACGGTTGCACTATCATTACTGTTTCTGTCCTTGTCCGTCTATCTACTCCTTACCATCTTATCACACCCCCACCCTACTGCAACTTCTGACTTGTGTAAATTAAACTTATCAAAAGGTGCCCTTTTTTGGCAAATTTAGCGTGGCCTCATTACACTTGTTCATCTCTCTTTCGACCAGTTACTCCGACTCGGGCCTCTTATCTGAATCAGCCCCATGGTCCTGTAGATCCATTTCTTATCTTTCTGACTGACCAATTTCATTCAGTTCCGGTCCCGGTACGTTTCACTTCGGGCGCTCTTTCTCGAGCATGAAGCAGGTACACTGCCACCTCAACGAACAGAGCGCTTACGCTCTGATTCCAATGCTTGCGACTATTATGTATAGCAGAAAAATCGAGTTTTGAGGTATCCCCTAATAGATTAATGTTGGAGTACCTTTCATTCTGTTTGAAGAGGTGAGTGGAAGGGATTCGTATGTTGGTTTCGCCTAAGGCTGTGGGAGGGTGGTTAACATGGACTATGCATCAAAGCTCATCAAATGTTCGTTTCGTTACACACTTGCGCATTTGATTATTTGACAAAATTCGTTCTTCATCATATTAGATAATATGTCATTCAGTTTAATCAATTTCAAACAGACAAAATTCGCAAATTTATGGGTTAGTTCATATTTGTTGTGGACTATTCGTCTTATTGGTTCTTTATTGTATACTTTCGGCAAACCCTATGCTACTGGGAACTTTGCATCCTTTCGTATAAGTGAGTTATTTGTCCATTCGTGTTCATTCCATTCAGCATTTATTGCAGGGATCCTTCGATATTACCTGTTTACTCTTTTGCCAGCATTGCCAGTCTTAACACCACACTAGACCTCGTCAAAGAGACAAGTGAAACTGATCCTTTGACCAATTGTCTGCTAAACAATTGTGGTATCTCCTAATCTGAGCTACTCACTGAATTGTTGTAGTTCAATACTGAACCTAATCAAAACAAGTATAACTACAACATTTGTAGGTCAACACACAAGAGACTAGGGCATAGGAAGTCACAGACTTGGCACTATGAATAAGCACGATAGATCCGGCGGAGACTAGAGCTATTTAGCTAAAAGTAGATGCGTTAGATCATAGACTTGGTCCATGAAGCAAAGGCACTGGGAAATAACTTTTCTAGTAGTACAAATAGGGTGACAGTGGTCAACTGAAATACCTAAATCAGCAATGTGGGAGGATCCTACGGAGCAAAGAAGAGACTGAAAAAATCCATGAAAAGGGGATTGCGGGGTGGGTGTGAAAAAGTCAGCTTAGAGCGGTAGAGATACAACAATTGGTCAAAGATACGGCTTCACTTGTCTCTGATCGGTTGTAGTGTGGTGCAAAGAATGGCAAGGCTCACTGACGATGCCAGCAAAACGTCTGGAAATGTGCGACATCCAGGGTCCGACTGGAAATCAGCATGCATACTATGGACTCAGGATTATATGCGTTCATCCAGGTCCTACAAATATGTTCAAGTTGCGAAAACAAAGTCAAACAACTTGTTAGATAATTTTCCTCTCTTTGTTTCTATTTTACTTCGTTGAAATAATCTCATTCATTCGTTGCATCAAGTGGGGCCATCCGAATCCCTTTCACTCACCTCTTCAAACGAAATGAAAGATACTCCAACATCATTCTATTAAGGGGTTCTTCGAAAACCAGCTTTTCTGCATATCTATGTGAATTTATTAAGGTCTGGAATGTTCTTAAACTAAGGAATTTTTTAAAATAAGAATGTATAAAATCATAACTATTCGATCGGGCATAAATAGGTTCAAGTGAAATTCACGTTTTATACGGGAACAATTATATTTAAATATATAATTGCTATATCTGACCGAAAAATGAGCCGATTACTATGACACGAAGCCCTCAACGTAATTGTCTTCCTCTGTGCGGGTAATTCGGATGCCGTTCATGTACAAAAACCTAGCCCCAAAGTTCTAAACTCAATCATGCTTCAAGGGCTTATTTTCTTTAGACGAAAGCCTCTTATTAAGCCTATTAGACGCTGTCTCTTATGGTGCATACAGTATGCTGCAAATGTATATTGTATCGGACAAATTCTCCCGAACAGTCTACTTGCATGAGAGGACAGGTCTCAACCTATTTATGAGTAGATTCGATATTCAAAATATGCTTTAATCCTAACGTATAGTAATATCCAGAGTTTGGGTGTTATATATTATACAAGGAACAAGAGTGGTAACATTAATGGATTGTCGGAGTTCTCCTCCCACACTACTTTTGTTTATCAAATATCCATCATGCATGAGACCTAAAATTGCACAGATGACAGGGATGATTCATTGCTTTCTGTGAATAGGGTCTTTCTACATACTTTGTTTGAGTTAACAGTTGTGTCTTTAGATACCGTTTCAGTGAATGCTTCAAAAAGTTCAATTGCCTGGCGGAGCGACGTGTGTTTGTACGGCAAAAGATGAGCGGAGCTCAAGTCTTTTTTGTCGCTCGGATTATTTAGCTCGTTTAGCTCATGGATAAGCTGGTCCAAGGTCGGGACTGCTGCTGGGTCAAAGTCGTCGAAGCGGGCTGGGTCGAACGGTACACAAACCATTCCAGTCTTAGGATGAATAGAGAATGGGCTTTTCAGCAGATGGTTGAGTCCTACAAAAGGTGAGAAAATACACATTTATGTTATTGCCTCAGGATACATTTTAATTCTGATATGATATACTAAGTCAACTTTAATAAAAGTGCGTTGAGTTAGATATTGATGGATAAGCACTTAGAGCCTGCATTAGTAGTCATGACGATCACAACATCGGATGACAAACCTGTAACATCCCCAGACATTTAGCGGGCATCGTTTAGGTTTGGCAATATTAGCACTGGGCCAAAATTAGTGAAAAACAAGTGAAGCCCACCTCTTGACCAACTTTAATGCCCTGGTAAATTCACTTATATGATTTACTGGTAGTATCGAAAACTTACTTAAAAACAAAAAATAAGTAATGTAATCTATTACTACAGTAAATATAACTTTGCTATATGGAGAACGTGGTTTGAGAAATGCCTGGTCTTCCTCTAAATTTACATTTCTCTGTGACCCGAGGGAATTCGTGTAAATGTGCCGTAGTGATTAACATGTCGAGATTAGACGCT